TTTAGTGCTCAACTAAATCAAACATTCATAAGATTTTTCATCTCATGAGAAACGGAAAGAAAGAAAAAAGAAAAATGAAAATTCAAAAATGGGTAAAAAAAAAGAAAAAAGAAATTTCTAGAAAAAAAAGTATATATGTTGCTTTCTTCGTTTTTTATCAATAAAATTTTATTTTATTTTACTTTTTTCTTAAGGGGATGGGGGGGGGCAAAGGGAAAAGAGGAAAAGCATAAATGAAAAACGTAGAGAGAAAGAAAGAGAGAGAGAGAGAAAAAGGAAAATGATCATAGAAAAAAATAATATTATCACTATTAATATTAAATTAAGGGCGTTTAAGGACAGTACCGAAGGAGGGGTGAGGGGACGAAAAGGGAAGAGGGGAGGGGAAGGGTTGAGGAGAAAAGGAAAGTAAATAAAAAAAAAATAAAACAAAACAACCGAGTTTAAAAATTTTTTAATTAATTAATTATTTATTTATTTAAATTTTACCACGAGTGTACCGTCGTAATAAATAATTAATAATAATAATAATAATGCTGCACCAACAACATAAATTAAAACATAAAAAATTGCCAAAAGGTTTTTTGTTTTTGTTTAAACATACCAACATAAAAATTTAAAAAACATTTTATTGTTATTCCAAATCCTTTTCAAGTTCCTTTACCTTCCACATCTCTCTCTTTCTCTTTCTCTCTGTCCCTTTTTTGCGGGAAGGTCTAAAGTAAAAACAATTAAAAAATTTGCTTCGGTTAATAATAATAATAATAATAAAACAAGTTTAACATTTTAATAAAGACATAAAGACCCGAAGCGAAATAACTTTTTTTTTTTTTTTTTGAAAACGCATAAAAAAAAACGAGTATAACTAACGTACGTTTTTTTTTTTGTCGAGTCTTGTTCCACGTCAATATTTACAAAAAAAAAAAAAAAAAAAAGTTAAAAATTAAATTTTCAAAAAAAAAAACATAAAATTTATTTAATTAAAAAAAAAAATATGAAAAAGTTAAATTAATTAATTAATTGTCAAAAAAGAAATAAAAAAAATTAATAATTTTTTTTTTTTTCGTAAAAGTTATTAATAATAGATTTTTCATCTTTTTTTTTTTCATTAAAAAAAATATATATATATATATCGGTTATGTAAATAATAATAATAATAGTAATAATAATAATAATACGAATAATAAATGAAAGAATGTTCTCGGGGAATTTTTTTAATTTTGAAAATGAAAAAAAAAAAAAAAAAAAAAAAAAAAGATGACGATGATGATGATGATGAACGACGAAAAGGTTTTTAAATAAAAAAAAAAAATGTCGAAACTCGGAAAAACAATTTTTCATTTTTTATTTTCATTTTTAATTTTCATTTTTTTTTCAAATGATTAAATTATCAGTTAATTTATTATTATTATTATTATTATTATCATTATTATTATTAACACAACGGAATTTGGAATTTTTTTTCCAATTTTTACGTACGTTTCTCTCTTTCTCTCTTTCTTTCGTTTGGAATGAAAAATAAAAATTAAATTAAATAAAAAATTTTTTATTTAATCGTGGCAAAAGAATTTTAAGGTTTTGAAGAAAAGTTTGGGGAAGAAGAAGTCGCGAGAGTAAAAAAAAAGGAGGGAGGAGGATAAAAACCTGGAGAAGAAAAAAAAAGATGGCGATTTTAAAAAGAAATAAATTATTTTTTTTTTCGAGTATAAAAAAGAATTCTAGCATTGATGACGTATCGTTATCATTATTATTATCATTATCATCATCATCGCGCTTGTGTAAAAATAGAATTTATTAATTTTAAAATAATAATAATAATAATGTGTTTATTAATATTTCAAAAAAGATTGATTGACGTTAATAAAAAAAAAAAAAAATTTTTTTCTTTTTTTTTTTTCGAAGTAAAAAATTTCATAATTAAATTTATCATCATCATCATTATTATTATTATTAATAATTTTGTGAAAAACAAGTTTCAGGTATTTTTAAACATTTTTTCATTTTCACGGTGAGGAAACAAGGTGTGGGAGGGAAGGGAGGAAAGAGGTGGGGAACAAAAGGAAGGGAAAAAGCAATTTATCATTTTTGAATGTATTTTTTCCGGTTAATTTTAAACAAATCTTTAATGATAATAATAATCATTATTATTATTATTACTATTATTATTATCATTATTTACATTAGGGAAATAACGTAGCAAAAAAATAAATAAATAAATAAATTTCGTTACGTCGGATTTATTTATTGAAATGATATGAAAATTTCGTTATTAAAAACAAAACAAAATTTAAAATTTGATGGGGGAGGTGGTGGGGAAGAGGGAGGAGGGAAGAGGAAGAGGAAGAGGAGGAGGGAAAAGCACAAAGGCGACGAAGCTATGAAAAAGGTTAAAAAGGAAGGAAAAGTTTTTGATTTTCATAACAATTGTTCATCCTTTGATAATAAATCCATCTTCATATATATATGTAAACACACACGCGATCATACATTTCCTGGAGAAGATCTGGAAAAATCATTTCGTGGAGGATTAATAAATAATTTCTTTTTTTTCCAGGTTTATAAAAAGAAAACTGAAGCTGCCAAAAAGGATTATTTAAAAGCTTTAGCCATATACAGAGCAAGCATTGTGTCTAAGGTAAGTTTTTTTAAATTTTTTTTTTTTTGACGTTTCCGTTTCCGTTTTAATGTTGTCGCGCAAAAAAAAAAGAAAAAAATTCAAATAATAATAATAATAATTAGATGAATGATTTTTAATTTGAGTTCAATGAGTTGAATCGATGAATGAAATTCAAATCGGAATTTCGATGCGCAAAAATTAAATGGACTGGAACAATTCCAGATAATAATAATGATAATAATAATAAAAAGGGAAACAATGCATTAAATTATTTTCATTTTCATTTTTTTTTTAATACCTTTTTGATGCTTTTTTATCATTATTAATGTTCTTTTTTTGATTTGAAATTTATTTGTTTCTTTTAAAAAAAAAAAAAGGGTGCAAGCGAAGGGGAAGGAATGTACGGTCAATATGGAGGTTACGGTGGAGGTTACAGCGGTTATTCTCCACCTGCTGGAATGCCTTCGCCAACGAATCCTCCACACATTCCTCAACAGCAACACATGCAACCGCAACAGCAGCAAATGACGACAATGGCAAAGAAATCACCTTTGCTGACGAACATGATGAACGAAAGAGGACAAAACGGTCCTTCGCCTCAGCAGGTATCATCTCAGATTTCAGTTATCCTTTACCCCGCCCCGCCCCCCACGTCCCCCGTCGATTTATATGCGAATTTCTTTTTTTTTTTTGTTATAGGGTATGATGGGTTCGCCTATGAGTTCACCGATGGGTCACATGGGTCCGCAATCACACTTACAAAATCAGAATTCAGGTTACATGCAACAGGTACGGTGTGGATTCAATTGGGGAAATGACGTGACGTCAATTCAATTTTCTTCTACGAATTGTTTCCGGTATGAATATTATATGAAGGAATTGTATATTTTCAGATGACTCCATCTCCATCCATTCAACACGGAAACGTTAACATAAACGCATCAAACGGTGAAGATGTAAATGGTCCAGGAGCCGGAGGATTAAACGTTGATGGCGGAGTAACCGGAAATCATTGCATTCGTCAGGGATGCACGAACCCAGCCATAACGAGTACCGAATGGGAAGATGAATATTGCTCCAATGAATGCGTCGTCGGTCATTGCAGGTAAATAATTTTCTTTTTTTTTTTTTTAATTGATAGCAGACGATTTTTTTTTTTTTGCATTCGTAACAAAATAAAAATCGCCATTTTTGTTTTTAAATAGAGATGTTTTCAATTCTTGGATGGCCTCGAATCGTAACCAACAACAAAATCATCCGGCGGTTAAATAAACACAATTCATTTGCGCCATATTAATATTTTTTCGTAACGGATATGCCGGTAGGAAAATTCTTTTTTTTTTTTTTTTTTTCATTTGTGTCACCTGCCGGAAATGCGATGATGATGATGATGATGATGATGAATCATCATCCATTATTTCATTCATCACTTCCGGTGATTTTCATGTAAAAAAAAAATAATTTTTTTTTTTTCCTATTCTATTCTATCTCTATTTTTATTTTTATTTTTATTTTTATTTTAGTTTTTATTTTGATAATAATGATAATAATAATAATAATAATAATAATAATTGGTAAAGGTTAAATTAAATTAGTAAAAAAAATAAAATAAAATAATAATTTAAAAAAAAAATATTGAAAAAAAAATAATAATAATAATTTCAACGCCAAAAAAAACGACAAATTTATTATTGACGAAAAAAAAAAATTGAAATAATAATAATGATACTGATAATGATAATAATGATAACGATGATGATAATGAGATTTTTTTATTTTTTAAATCAATGTATTTAATTAATTAATTAATTAATTATAGAATTAGGTACTTAAATAAGAAAGTTTCGTTTCTTTCTTTATAAACAAAACAAAAATAAAATAATCGTCAGATAATGATGATAATGATGATGATAATAATGATGATAATGTGCAAACATTTATTCAATATATTTTTTTTTAAAAATAAAATTCGTTCGTTGGAATTATTTTTATTTTTAAACAAATATCGATTTGTTTTATTATTATTATCATCATCATCATAGCTACGACATACTCAATCCCATGATACTGTTGTTTATTAATAATAATAATAATAAATAAATAAATAAAAAATAAATAAACCAACGAATTTATTATTTTTTTATTTTTTAAAAATAGATTTAATGTAATTTAATTAAATTTTTTTTTTTTTTTTAATATTAATTAGACGCGATAATAATAATAATTGTTATTATTATTATCATCGTATAAATAAATGATAAGTTTAATA